CCCCAAAACCCCAAAACCCCAAAACCCCAAAACCCCAAAACCCCGGGGGTAGCAGGGAGAGTTGAAATTTTAGCAGATGAAGGTGTAATTTCAGTCTCGATTTTTGTGGCTGTGGGATTTTATTGTTAGGTTTTTAAGGTTTAGTTCTGAGCATAATTCTGATAGCCTAAATGGGTGTGTTAGTTTTAAGTTTGGATTTTTTGATTTTTTTAGTTTTCATTGCTAAAATTTGAAAGAAAAAGTTTTAATAGTCAAATTAATGAAGAGAACTTTGAATTCTTAAGATATATCGAGAATGCAAATTTAAACAAAAAAGAGGAAACTAAATTCATTCTTCTTACCTTTCTTTTCTAATGCAGCTAGAGTCGATGAGAATAGTCTTAATGCCTTCCTTTATCGAAGCTTTAGAAATAACATTGAGTAAAATTTCGAAATTTATGGGATCATCTTCATTATGTTTTAAGTGAAAAGAAATATTTTCCACAGAACCATAGCAAAAAGTTTCTCTGATAGATTCAGGCTTGGAGATTTTACATCTCACAAAGTTTAATCTTTTTATAGTAACAAGTGATCGAAATATTCTTGATAAGAGGGTTGTGCTGATAGTCAGTTCAGAGAAATAAAGAGAATTGGTAACCTTCGTAACAGGTAACCAAGAATAATTTTGAAGAGCTATTTCTCTTCTTCCTAAGCCTGAACTGAAGCAAATATTTTTAATTCTTTCAGGCAATCAATATTTAATAAAATCTTCACAAATTTTATTATTTGCTTTAGGATCATCTTCAGTAATAGTGAATTGTATTTCTTCAAGCCAAAACATTCTTAATTTTGATCTGAGGATGCTTTTCATTAAATTGGATCTTATATTTTTAAAAGAAGGTGATATCTTAGTCAAAGGGAGCGTGAATTCTATATTATCAAACGTCTCCAATAAATGACTAGGGAGTCTCAGCTCTATATTTTCTTAATTAAACATTGCCCTTCAAAATTCCAAAAACCTTAATACTCGACCACATCTTTAAAAATCTTCTTTCTCTCCAACTTTCCTTGTCCCATCTCCTTCATTACACCCATCTAAACACTACCTCCCAACCCTCGTATCCTCTCCTGTATCCTAACTTCCAACCCCTAAAAACCAACCTTTGTTCCTTAAATTGACATAGACATGCTCATCAATCTCTTGCTGCTGAAGAACTACTGCTTTCTCAGAGTCTCTGGTCGAGGTACAGCCTTCCATTTTTGAGTTAATATCTATAATTGGTGGTTTTGGAGGGGTTTTGGGGTTTTGGGGTTTTGGGGTTTTGGGG